TAAACAGACTAGATCAAGGAAAGTTCAAGTCAGTCAGAGAGCTTACGACTACCATAGAAAGCCTCATTGTCGTTCCAGGCATCAACTACAATGACCAGTTCCAGTTGACTTCGTTTGTTAGATGTCTTCCAGAGAACCTCAGGAACTTGCTGGCCAGCGAGGCTCGCCTTGAGTACCATTCGTTTTAGACATTGTCTAGAAAAGCCTTAAGACTTATAGGCTACACTAGGAAATGCTCAACCCTCTCAGAATGATGCGATTGACGAGGCTTCTTTGCAGTAGGTGCGTGTGATGTCAGGCGAAATAGCACGCAACCCGGGTAGAGGGGTGCACGTTGGAAGGCTATACAACTTGGGACGCTGTGGCGACAACGGAATGTATGTATGGCATTTGGTTGAGGTGGCACTGCATTACGTTGTGGGTGATACCGAGGCTATGACTGGTCATCAAATGCACATTGAGCTCAATTGGTGAGAAATAAGTGGTTGGGGGCAGCTATCTTCAGGTCCGTTGTTTCCTTACCTTATCTACCCTCTCAATCTCTTCTTACCGCGAGGAAGTGAGTTCAACTTGAGAGTCCTCTCTTTTTGGTGAGGTGTCGTGAGCGCTCTACCTTGAGAGACGACAATCTTCCCCGTGGCGCATCTGGGAGGAGAAAGGGCCGTACCTTTGAAGGGCCCTGGTCGAAGCACGTGGGTCACGGTCACCATGCCAACCCAATGGGATTAGAACACGCATGCGATGGCTGCTTTGTCCATTGAGGTTCTTTGCTGCGCTAATAGAGGGGTGAGCGGACTGAACAGGCTTATGCAAACGCTCCCAGGCCGTCTGTAAACATTTCTGGTTGGGGCTCCGATTTGTCCACTGGCTATGATCGTCGTCCTGGTTGCGACGTTAAATAATTCCTGAGCTACCTTGGCGGCAGTCCTTCAATAGCCTCTTGATCAGCCAGATCAGTCGGACGTACGGCTCGTTGCACGCGAGGATAAATAACGGGCAAGCCTGGTCATAAGCATGGGCCAAATTGCACACCTAAGACACTGCTGCTCATTGATGCTCATCGGTATGTTGGATTGAGGGGAGGGGAGGTTCCAATTGGTGCTCAACTGTAAACACAACCATTTCCACTATTCATACATCTGCAACATAATTTCGTTTTACTTCTTATTAGTTGGTTGACAGACTGCTAACACCTCACAGACAGCTTAGTTTAGGACTGTAGTATACTACCATGGCCAGTTATATGCATAGCTTCTGTAAGTGAACTAATCTGGATAAAATTAGATTATGTTTACAGTCTTTGTGAATGTTGTAGGCTGCCACTTGATCCGTTAAGTAGGGGACATGCCGAA